CCGAGTTCATTTTGCTGCCTTGCAGCGCCGTTCGTTTCCTAAAACCCACACCATTGTGCAGTCTGTGCATGAAAGAATGACTGTACACTTGTGATAAACAGGAAATTCACCATTCGTTAAAGAACTTTAGGTTACATTGGTTGCAAGGAGCACGATTTGGGGCCCCCTCTTTCTACCTTTCAGACGCGCCAGAAGGTGCTGATTGTGGCGTTTGCCCGTGCCATGCGGGACCCCTTCCACCCCTCTCGGATGGCGGCCATCTTGGCCCTGTCGGCCACCCAGGGGTACTTCACCCTGCGGGACTGCGCCTCCAAGGTGCTGCCCGCCCTGTGCGCCCTCACCATGGACCCGGAGAAGACCGTCAGGGACCACGTAAGGGGGAGCTTTTGGTCTGCCTTTTTCGAACGCTTGGCATTTCTAGGGCCGGCGCTCAGTGCTCTTGTGTCCCTGGGATGAGGTGAGCCTCGGCGAAAGGGAGGCATCCCTCCAAATTTAGCAGACAGCGTTCACACGACTTGTTCATGACTTAATTGGTGTGACAGTCGTTATGTAATGCCATGACATTACATGACATCGCGACGTCATGAGACACCATGTGTGACATTGTTGCCAAGTGTTTCATAGCGCTGTAGCTCGAAGCACGTGGAGCAAAAGCTCACGCTGCAGAACCTGTTGATCCTAGGCTCAATCCCCACCCCTGCCCGCTTAGACCTGGATGAGCATCGTACCGGCGTGCATTCATGCATCACTGCTGCATCATGCACATTAACCTCTTGGCCGTTTTTCTGTCCCTCAACTGATTAATTGTGGTCTTTAAAAAAGATTTTGTTCCCTTGAAAATAAAATTTCTAGCCACAAATGGAATGGGAGCAAAATTTGTGCCTCCATCTGTTGGTAGAGCCATAAACTAAGCCATCAGCAATCCTAGGTCGTCTAAGACTGTCGAGTGTGTGAATTGGGGAAAGCAGACGGACCCGTCCCAAACGGTCTGGGGACGTCTTCATGTTTACGGGCTAGGCTTGTCTAAAATGGATAAGGGGTTAAAGACACCAGGCTAGCAGTCATACTGCACTGGTTAAATTTCTAGTCTATAGCATAAACCAGTGTCGCTGCACCTCAAAAGGCAGACTGATCTTACACTGTCTAGACACGAATATCAAATACTTTTTTTTCTTTTTGTGATCATGTGGTGCTACGATGACATGTGACACTGTGACATTATGTGACATATGGTCATGTGATTATGTGCTCTCCTGATGGTCACATGACTGTGACGTTGCGTTGCACTGTGGCATGATGGTGTCATGTGATGTGACCTGACTAAATGTATTGTAACATCACATCACAGAGAAGCTATAAATGCTATGTATTTAGAGCATCTTTGAGATATATCGGGGGTATTCAGACAAATAATATTGAAAGAGCCTTGAAAAGAACCATTTTAGGGAAGAGCCTCAATAGAAAAAAAGGTTTTAAAAGTTTTCTCCTCAGTTGTGGCCACAGCGAATTGCACTCATAAAACGATTGCTCAGTATGTTTCTTTATTGTAAGTCCCCATTTGTGAAACAAGGAACCTGTTCGATATGCTGGCAAAACGCAAGTTGCCTTTCTTTTTCTTTCTTTTGATTTTGTTGGGGGGGTGGTGTTACCAGGGAGCCGCACGAGGTTTGCGTTGACTGTTTTTGAGATGTACCAAAGAGACGAGCCGTTCTTTTCTATAGATAGCTTGATTGAGTGATGATAACTCCGTCAGTTGCACAGTCTATCAATTGGTTATAGAAGTTGTTGAATGAGTGACAGATTGATTATAACTGTCCCATGGAGCTAACCGACGTCATCAGCTTTGAAGCCGCGCCAAATGGCACCTTTCCCTGTCCCAATGAAGAGAAGCCCGTCATCTTTAGCAGAAATCTGATAGATAGGCTCCGCTATGCTGGCGCGCGTCATCAAGGAACGAGGCTCCCATTGAATCTCGCGTGGCGTAGTTCCAAGCTTTCTCCATGGCGGCGCAGCGTACACAGCGGCCCAACCGCTGGTAAGAGGTGCGGCAATGCGGGCCTGGCTGCACAGTGCCCTCGGGCAAACTTCGGAGAGGCTGCACGGCCAAGCTCAGCGCGACACAGCCACTTCACTAGAGCACATGCTCGGCCGTTGGCCACTACTTCAGCCGTAGCGAAACATGGCCATCCACGCCATTACACCGCAGACAAACTAAGGGAGCGGAAGAACGACATTCATGCTTTCGCATTCACACCTCATAAGTGCTTAGGTATCCTCGGACTTTTGGTTGGTTGATAAATAACATGTTTGATTGATGACCATTTCATTAATTTCACTATCATCATGCTATTAATCAATCGACTGATCACATCTTTAATGAGCAGCTTTTGGACGACACATCTTAGCTTAGGTTCCAAAACTACTCCAAGCGATGTTTTATGTAGTTTTGTGTCACTGGATCTGTTAAAACGCCGGGTCTCCTTGTTTATTATACCGTATATACTCACCTGTCATCATCTCATGCTAAAAAAAAAAATATATATATATATATATATATATATATATATGTATATATATTATTATTTATATCTTTTATTTAAAGGCTTTCAAGGCCATTAAGGGCTTCCTCGGAAAACTGGAGAAGGTGTCCGAAGATCCAAGCCTCGCCGAACAGATGGGTGAGTTTTCGTGTCTGTTTGCAAAGCAGCGCTCCTCGGCAACCCTATGTTCGAAAGGATTTCATAATCTTTTCTAACACGGAATGTGTTAAACCGACAGATTATACTCGAGAGTGGGGCTTGACTGACCCACACGTCAAGGTCATCTATGCAATGTAGTCCCATCGGGGCATCATTTACATTCCCTGCTGAATTCAGCGAGACAATCGGTGCATCACTTGGCACCCAGGCGTCGCTTGACATTGTAATGTTACGTGACTTGACGTCGAGCTCAGGTGTCATGTAATGTCACGTGATACCAGAATGTCACATCGTATCAAAAGATCATGTGACAATGATGTTGCATGACATCATGATAGCACACAACATCATAATGTAGCGTGACCTCAAAATGTCACACGACGTGCAAATGAGCTGGGCATGTCATGCGCCCAGCCCCTTTGCAACACATTCTCTGTGTCTTCGAGCCTGGCATATATGATGAAACAATGCTTTAATCTTTCTTTTTCTTATTCAGAGGCGGATGTGAACGCTGCGAGCTCCAGCCTTCCTTCCAGCCTGGCGGCTAGCTGGGCAGGCTGGGCTGTCACCTCTCTCACTTCCAAGTTCTACCGGTCTTCGACAAGTGGAACGGCCTCCGCCACAACAACTGGCACGACCTCGACAGCTGGCGTGGCACCTTCGAGTGACTGTGAGTTCGAACTCTGACCAGAAACAAAATCATCTGCGATGCTGGACCGTACAGCGGGAGGCTCTTGGAACCATTTGGGTCTGCCCGAGGCGATGTCTTGGAGTGGAGTTCTTTTTCAGCATTTAAGGGGGGTTTATTTTATTTATTTATTTATTTGTTTACATTTGATCATGTTGCAAAGGAGTACATAAAAAGTTGAAAAGTGAGCATGGTGAATATGACTCAGGAAACTGCGAGGATGGCAACAGGTTCCAGTCTCTTGTGGTACAAACAGAAACTGATAAGTGACAGTGTGATAGAGTTTTAACATTGAACAGCTAACCTAGTAGCCTCCGAGACAGATAGCGCAGCGTCGTTGGGTAGTTTCTCCTCTTGAATATTGTTTGGTTGTAGAAAAGGGCGTAGAAAAATTTAGCCTGAGGTTTTCTCGAAGGGTAGCTGCCATATTTATTCGAAGATAGGTCGACCTTTTCATGAACAGACGCGTGTGTCTACCTTCCTGCAGAGCCCAAGGGAACCAGTCATTAAGGCTAACTAAAGGAGCCGGCAAATGGCAAAGCTGAGATAACGTTTGTAATAAAAAAAAATTCAATCCACACAGATCTCATTTCTGCGTTCCGACATTATTGGTGCCTCTTCATTCGCTGGGCCTCTCTTCCATACATTGCAGTGATGGGCTCTTCTTGAGCATTGCAGAGGAATATGCGCAGGCGTTGTTCATAAAGAGGTTGACATGTTCTTGAATAAGTATGATAGTAGTAACCAATTTAGTTAATCTTTTTTTTTTTTTTAACACTGATCCAGATTGTGTATATCAAAGACTAATCTAGTTTTTGGATTTTGTATATGGTTGTGGCAATCAAACTTCTTTTAACCCCTTATCCGTTTTTGATGAGCCCTTGTCCAGCTAGAGCCGTCCCCAAACCACTTATGACGAGTGTAGCTTGTCCGCGCACCCTACCTCGCCCCTTGGCTGTTTTGGATGACCCAGGCTCGTTCAGAGCTTAGTTTGCAGGACTGCTCAGAGATGCCAGCACTTGTTTCTTATTGTACACGTTTTTAAGGATGGCAACCGATTGTGGAGACACCTAAGCTGCACTTATAAGGAAAAAAAAAAAAACTTTAGGTGTTAAAGACATTTTTTTTAGAACTGTTATATTCTGGTTTAGTTACTTCCAGTGTGTGGTTTAAGAAAGTTTCATAAATAAACATACAAGGTTTATTTCACGAAAAAATTAATTTTGGTAAGGTAAAGACGTTTAATAACCAAAACATTTGAGAATCCATAGGCCAAAAGCATGGGTTCTCAAACTGGGTTCCAAGTATCAAATGCCGGGGTTTCCTCAGAGTGCTTGCATGGGTTTCCCAAGTTCCCGAATTTTCTCAACTGTTCTTGCCCCTAAGTAAAGTGTCGTCCCAATTTAAGCACCTTTTCAGGAGATCTGAGCCGTCCACTGATGCATACCGTAACTATGAGCGAAACACTCCCTATGCCCTGACGTAGGCGGACAAAAACAGGACAGGCCCCTGCCACAAATCCCTCCACGCTTTCTGCCTTAGCGAGGCGAATGCGAGAGAGAAGGCAGAAAAGGGGGCAAGTGGTTTCCAGCATCCGCTCTGCTAAAATGGAAAGAGTGGAGGGCTCTGCTGCAGGATCTTGTCCTGCTTTCTTCAACTTGCAACGGAGTGTGGTATGTGCCTTGTTGTCTACGAGGTCTGTAGGCTTCTGCATTGGATTATTGCTTTTTCTCATATTAGTGCTGAGACTGGCAGGAGCTCCTCAACCTTCACTCAGCCCAGATGGGGATACCTAGAAACCTAAAATGGCAGTAGATGCTCATTAACTCATATTCCAGGAAGCCAGACATTTTTTTTTTAATTATCAGGAGTTTGAATGACCAGAAACTCGTCTAAATATGATGGAAGATTAAATTATGACTTGCTATATGAATGGCTACGGATACCAAGCAGGTATTTGATGATTTCCTTTTCATAGGCCTACTGAACCTAAGCATGTATGCCACCCGTGAAATATTTGTGAAATGTATGCCTCAAAAACATTGTTTATCGTGGACTGTTAGACAGCACATGGCAACTCAAAGCAAAATTAAGTGTGTTCATCGGGCCAAGAAGTTGTCTAATGTGGACAAAAGCAGAGACACATGAGCAATGAGAATGAGCCCCGTGCGGCAGTTTTCACAGCAACTTGCACGGATGTTGTGGTGTATACTTATGCTATGCCGCCAAATCACAGTGTCCGTGCAAGTTGCTATGGAAATTTCCACGTGGTGCCAGATTTTGTAGCTCATGGGTGCCCTGCTTGAGCACCGTTGAGTGCATTTCTCACCGAGCAACACCCGCGGAAACGGTGTTATTTTTCTGCAGTGCACCGATGCTCGTAAAGAAGTGCACTCAACTGGGCCGCAAGAATAAAAAGTATGAGTTACACGGAAACGCCGTCCAAATCAAGCAGTTTATGAATGTATTCAAAACATAGTGGGACAACATAACTTTTGAATTTTGTTTGAATTAACCGAAACTATGAAATTTCAAGGTTTGAATTATCGCGAGCCTACTATATTCAGAATCCGTCGACTAAGGCATTATTTGGTGCCACAGCCTTGTCGCAGTCTCGGCCACCCTCCGAAGCGACGTCTCCCGTTTTGGAATCGGCGTCTGCCAGGGACCACCGCGCGTCGGAAGACGTCGGAGTGGACTCTGCTTCGGACTACGAGGAGCGGTGGGACGATCAGGATTGGGGCACCATGGAGGTAAGTGTTGGCCCTCGCGGCACAACTCTCAGAGTGCGTCTTCGACCGGCGCGTTTGGCGTCGGCCGTCCTACCACAAAGGTAGGAAGAAGAGGAGGCGTGGCACTTTTGCAACCTCGTTGGGTGGAAGTCGAGGAACTGCTCTTGAGGATGCTGTAAACGGACCAGTTGGAGATGCGTTGCAGACGCCATAGTTGTAGTCGCTGGTGGGGTGAGAACGGCAGGGAAGGCACTTCAGACAACCCTCCTCCGGCGTGAGCTTGCTACCTTCAACGACGCTTCGGCGTCTCGTAAGCCTAGGGCGACAAGATGAGAGCGCCCTGTTGGTCTCCTCCTGTCGGCAGCTAGGGTCTAACGGTGGTTGGGGTTGTAGTGGGCGGATCGAATGCCGCATTCATTTATTCGCTCGTGCGTGAATGGATAGATCCGGCAAATGGCTTGTCGCCTTCGGTACCGGCCGGATAATCTGCTGAGGTTACCTTCGATTTTGCTTTTGTTAAAATTTTGTAAATTGGGCTTTAACAGAAATGTGTAATGGCAAAAAAAAAAAAAAGATGCGTTGGCAATGTGTTGGAAATTTTCGCGTCTGTTTGGCAGGCAAAGTAAATGTTAGTGAGGCACTGTGAAAAAAATCATTTGAATTTCAAAGTAGCGGATGAGTTTTTTTTTTTTATTGTTTTGCATACTGTAAAATCTTGTACGAACGCCCACAAAAAACGAAGAGATAAATGGGGGAAAAGTATGGGGTGGGCAATCTTCAGAGACGCGACGGCAAAATTTTATCAAAAGTTAGCGATAAGCATTGGGGGCCACCGCTACAAACCGCGCAAGAAGGGAACAGAACCGCTGAATGCGGGCAGAGCGAATTCGTGCTTCATGGTTAGTTATGAGGGAAACTGCTACAAACTCTCGTATCACAGGAACCAATATCGCGCGCGCAAATCACGGACAAAAAAAAAAAAAAAAGATATGCGGGAACAAGTTACGAAGTTGCACGTCTTGTGAACGCAATGATGGAAGTGCCACACCATCGGAGCCAAATTGCGCCACGAACGAAGGTCTGATACATCTTGCGCCATAGCGCCATTTTCGCTAAATCGTGCCACTCCTCTGCCGAGGTAAGCTTAAACAAAGAAAAAAAAAATAGGAATATTTTATGTTTGGTTGATGCCAGTGGCGTACCAACTTGTTTTTGAGTGGGGGGGCAAACCAGACCCTCCCTCCCTCCCCCCCCCCCCCCCCCCCCCCCCCCCCCCCGGGTTGCATATTTTTACAAGTGATGCACCGAAATTTTGCCGAATAAACAATTCGGCGCAACTTTTGCCGAACTTTTCTAAAGATTTTGCACTGATTCGGCAAAAATACACTGTTACCAGACTTAACATTGATATCTAGGTTTCTCTGACGAAATACGTTTTTTTTTGTTTTTTTTCTTAACGAAAATACAGCATGTAGTGCCCATTGACACAGTTATGACTAAATAAGGTGATATTCTACAAGATAATTGTACCGGTGTCGCTTTTGTCTGTTTTCTAGTAATTTTAGTGTTTGCTTGCAGAAAGTGGCGTGACAACAAGGTTGGTTAGAACTTAGTAGCCGGCGCAGTCACGAATCCCGCTTCGAGAGTTTTGATTTCGAGGCTTCATCAGCGCACGCCTGCAAGTGTGTTTACATTGTTAAAATAAAGGCAATTACTGCGTTCTTCCTTTCTCTGGGAGTCACCCTTTCGTGCACGAAAACGAATGCAACGGTTGCTGAACCTTCACCAGAAGAAATAACAATAATGTAAATATGAATGTTTTTCGATTTGAGTCACTTGACGTCAGTGTTGCATGAAAGTGTGCGTTCCATATTCGCAACGTGCCGTTTTTAAGCTTTAAAATTCCGGTTTCTGGTGTTAGACAACACACGGACGTTTAGGAAGTTAGGGAGAGTTAGGAATGTCGAATGTGCAACGTTGAGAATGATAGTCATGTGTTTAGTTTTATGCAGATACATAGAAAATCCCGAAATAACGCGAACTAAAAAGCAATATTATTCTGTTTTGGCACAAACTACTTGTGAGCCGAAAACAGGATTGTTTTAATAATAATAATGATAATAATAATAATTTTAGTTGCACATACTAGAAGGGGCCCATGTGGTGGTGTGCGGGGCTAGGCAGATGGTAAAAACCCTTACGCAGAGCGCCTGCCAGCCAGACTTGTACGTAGTTCAACTACTTTACTCAAGTTACTGTAGTTTAAC